AAATAAATAAATAAATAAATAAATAAACAATGATTATCACAACACTAATATTAATTATGGAAGAAGAAGAATTCTTCATCATGGAAATCGATCCATCTCGATGTCTCTGAAATTGTGCGTTTAGGTGTATATGGCGATGTGTGAAGTCAGTCAAAAATGAGAAAGACAAATGAAAAAGCATATCTGACTTAGATGGAAGGGGTTCTGTTTGTGTGTTCATTTTATCAGCCATGAATGAACTTACTGCAAAATTCTCCGGTATAACCTTCATCGCACTCGCAGTACGGCTCGTTGTCAGATACAACACATTTACCATGACCACACTGGCCTTCGAAGCCGGCACACAAGTTGTTCCTAGCTGTAGCTGTAGCTGAGGAGAAGAAAGACGGGAGTTGAAGCTTGGAAAAGCTTAGAATAACGACGTCTGGTTTTTGTAGAGAAATAGATGACGGTAGCCGACGGAACATAAGGTGTTAAAATTCAGATGGACATGGTGGAGCACTATTGTTTTGGTATTTATAACACATTGTAAAAACTAGATATCAGATTCTTATTTCAACTGGAAACCAACGCAGCACGGCACATTGTTAGACACAACACATTTACAATGGAGGAGCTTAGGATAACGACATCTGGATTTAATAGAGAAATAGATGATAGTAGCTGACGAAACATACGGTGTTAAAATCAGAGCATTATCAAAGGTATTTATATTTATAGGAAGCTAAAGTATTCTAAAGTTGATAAAATATTGACAGCGTGGGCCGGGAACACAAGACAACAAGATAAAGAAAAATTAAATCGACAAATACGGAAAGCATGTAAAAGTTCTACATCTACATTCCCCTACTTGGATGAATTGTACATTAACAGTTTGCACTAAAAAAAAACTAATTCCATCTTTTTAGACAACACACATCTCTTGTTCCTTCAAATAAAAACATCAGTCAGAGGTAAAAGACCTAAGCTTCTGATCTTTAACAAAGAAAGATATAGAAGGTCATTTTTACCATTATCCATGAAAATGCTTCCATCTTAACCGTCTTGTATAAGTATACTTACGACCTTAGAGCATGCATCAGGATAACATTGAGTGTGTATCTAGCTTAAGATTATTATTGTTTATATTGCTGTTCATTTATATTATGCATGTGATTGTAAGCCTGCGTGTGTGTGCATGTGTGTGTGTGTGCGTGTGTGTGTGTGTGTGTGTGTGTGTGTGTGTGTGTGTGTACACGTGGTGAAGCACCAAACCAATTTGTAGAATCTGGACAATAAAGATGTATCTTATCTTATCTTATATCGGACGGTAGAAAATAGATGTTAGCTTCTTATTTCAACTGTAAACCGATTATGAACTTTAAACATATTTTTTGTAGGATATATCTCCTTCTTCTTCTTCTTCTACTTCTTCTTCTTCTTCTTCTTCTTCTTCTTCTTCTTCTTCTTCTTCTTCTTCTTCACAATGTGTGAAGGCTGTCGAAAATGAGGAAGACAAACGAAAAAGCTAATCTAACTATTGGAAATAGACGATTTTGTCTGCAGGAAGTGAATCCTTCAAAGGGACGACAGAAGGACAAGGAAAGGTATCTTGCCATCGTGTGCGTACAACACCCCCCCCCCCCAAAAAAAAATATTTAAAAAAAATAATTAAATAAATAAAAATAAAATAATCAATCAACCCCTTAACATTTATTTTACAAGACAACTTTCAAGTCAAGGAATGGTTGAATGAGTGAGTGACAATGGGTGAGCGTGAAGTAGATGGATGGTATTCTGTTCGTGTGTTTATTTTATCTACCATGAATGAACTTACTGCAAAATTCTCCGGTATAACCTTCATCGCACTCGCAGTACGGCCCGTTGTTAGACACAACACATTTACCATGACCACACTGGCCTTCGAAGCCGGCACACAGGTTGTTCTTAGCTGTAGCTGTAGCTGGAGAGAAGAGACACGGGAGTTGAAGCTTGGAGGAGCTTAGGATAACTACGTCTGGTTTTTATAGAGAAGTAGATGACCTTAAAATCATAGACTTAATGGAGCATTTTTAAGCATTTATATCGGATGGTAGAAACTTGATATTACCTTCTTATTTCAACTGTAAAGCAATGCAGAGCTTTAAACATAATTTAGTGGCTCTCGTGACCTAGAGGTTAAGGGGTTTGGCCTCTCAAATAAAGGTCCCGGATTCAAATCAGGGTAGCGACCGAAAAAGTGTCTCCTTTGACCTTCTTTCCTGTTCTCTAGCAATATTTTGTTGTCTGCTTTCGTCTCTTCTTTCTGACCCAACCCCGCACCTCCTTTGCCCCCTCCTGTGAGCTCCTGACTCTTTCTTCAGCCTTTCTTCTGCTACTCCTTGGCTCCTTCTTACTGCTTTCTTTCAGCCACACCCCTGATCTTCTGGTAGGAAATATCTACACCAAGCCTTCTCGGACCAACTGAAAACATTTAATGTGTCCCGCGCGCTCATATGACCTTATACAGTTGCGAGCGCCGTAAAACATGTACCAAAAAAACAATAACCCCCCCCCCCCCCCCCCCCCCCCCCCCCAGGACGGTGCTACTGACTGAAGTGTCTTTAGGCCATTCCCAAAGGTGGTGACATTTTTATCTCGAGTTCTTATGCACAGTAGAATTGTACATTGTAAATGGGTTGATTCATTAATGTCATGCTTATAACCGTGCCTAAACTGCAACAGGGAACTGCTGCTTTTTCTTTCCTAATCCGTACTATCGTCATTTGGCTCCACTTCTTTTGTATGTTTGTCACACTCTTGTGACCCGCTATTTCCGGGGTGCATTGAAAGTCGAAGCAGACTTTGTGCTGTTGAAGCAAGAGAGATGAGCCATGTAAGCCCGATTCACTGTAAGGACTTCTCTGTTGACATCCACCCCTTTGGGCTCATATGACTTTATGCAGCTGCGAACACCATAAAAACCTGATTACAACTAAACAAAAAAAAAAACAACAACCAACATACGATATGTCGAAACTGTCTTCTTCTTCTTCTTCTTCTTCTTCTTCTTCTTCTTCTTCTTCTTCTTCTTCTTCTTCTTCTTCTTCTTCTTCTTCTTCTTCTTCTTCTTCTTCAGTGTAAACACTGTAGCAAAAACAATATTACTTATAGTTAAATTTGCTTATCGTTGGACTCGATTAGCCCGGCAAAATGGAAATCTCTGAAATTGTGTGTTTATGTGTGTTTGACAATGTGTGAAGGCTGTTGAAAATGAGGAAGACAAACGAAAAAGCTAATCTAACTGCATTTGAAAATAGAAGATTTTGTCTGCTGCAAGTGAATTCTTCAAAAGGACGACAGAGGGACATGGAAAGGTATCCTGCCATTGTGTGCGTACAACATTCCCCTCCCCCCCCTCTACCCCTAACCTTTATTTTACAACACAACTTTCAAGTCAAGGAATGATTTGATGTGTGAGTGACAATGCGTGAGCTTGACGTAGATGGAAGGTATTCTGTTTGTGTGTTTATTTTATCTACCATTAATGAACTTACTGCAAAATTCTCCGGTATAACCTTCATCGCACTCGCAGTACGGCCCGTTGTTAGACACAACACATTTACCATGACCACACTGGCCTTCGAAGTCGGCACACAAGTTGTTCCTTGCTGTAGCTGTAGCTGAAGAGAAGAAAGACGGGAGTTAAAGCTTGGAGGAGCTTAGGATAACGACGTCTGGTTTTTATAGAGAAGTAGATGACCTTAAAATCATAGACTTAATGGAGCATTTTTAAGCATTTATATCAGATGGTAGAAACTTGATATTACCTTCTTATTTCAACTGTAAAGCAATGCAGAGCTTGAAACATAATTTAGTGGCTCTCGTGACCTAGAGGTTAAGGGGTTGACCTCTCAATTAAAGGTCCCGGATTCAAATCAGGGTAGCGACCGAAAAATTGTCTCCTTTGACCTTCTTTCCTGTTCTCTAGCAATATTTTGTTGTCTGCTTTCGTCTCTTCTTTCTGCCCCAACCCCTCACCTCCTTTGCCCCATCCTGTGAGCTCCTGACTCTTTCTTCAGCCTTTCTTCTGCTACTCCTTGGCTCCTTCTTACTGCTTTCTTTCAGCCACACCCCTGATCTTCTGGTAGGAAATATCTACACCAAGCCTTCTCGGACCAACTGAAAACATTTAATGTGTCCCGCGCGCTCATATGACCTTATACAGTTGCGAGCGCCGTAAAACATGTACCAAAAAAACAATAACCCCCCCCCCCCCCAATGTTTTATGAAGTATCTGTCTTTTTCTTCTTCTTCTTCTTCTTCTTCTTCTTCTTTTTCTTCTTCTTCTTCTTCTTCTACTTCTTCGTTTTCCCCTTCTCCTTCTCATTCTCCTTCTTCTTCTTTTTCATTGTAAACAATGTAGTTAAAACAAAATTTCTGATCCATAAACTTGTTAATTTTTGGACTCGATTAGCCCGGCAAAATGAAAATCTCTGAAATTATGTGATTATGTGTATTTGGCCATGTGTGAAGACAGTTGAAAATGAGGAAGACAAAAGAAAAAGCTAATGGAACTACTTTTGGAAAAAGAAAAAAATAGACGATTTTGTCGGCTGCAAGTAATTCTTCAAAAGGACGACAGAGGGACATGGAAAGGTATCTTGCCATCGTCTGCGTACAACACCCCTCCCCTCTCTACCCCTAACCTTTATTTTACAACACAACTTTCAAATCAAGGAATGATTGGGTGTGTGAGTGACAATGGGTGAGCTTGACGTAGATGAAAGGTATTATGTTTGTGTGCTTATTTTATCCGCCGGGAATGAACTTACTGCAATATTCTCCGGTATAACCTTCATCACACTCGCAGTACGGCTCGTTGTTAGACACAACACATTTACCATGACCACACTGGCCTTCGAAGTCGGCACACAAGTTGTTCCTTGCTGTAGCTGTAGCTGAAGAGAAGAAAGACGGGAGTTAAAGCTTGGAGGAGCTTAGGATAACGACGTCTGGTTTTTATAGAGAAGTAGATGACCTTAAAATCATAGACTTAATGGAGCATTTTTAAGCATTTATATCAGATGGTAGAAACTTGATATTACCTTCTTATTTCAACTGTAAAGCAATGCAGAGCTTGAAACATAATTTAGTGGCTCTCGTGACCTAGAGGTTAAGGGGTTGACCTCTCAATTAAAGGTCCCGGATTCAAATCAGGGTAGCGACCGAAAAATTGTCTCCTTTGACCTTCTTTCCTGTTCTCTAGCAATATTTTGTTGTCTGCTTTCGTCTCTTCTTTCTGCCCCAACCCCTCACCTCCTTTGCCCCATCCTGTGAGCTCCTGACTCTTTCTTCAGCCTTTCTTCTGCTACTCCTTGGCTCCTTCTTACTGCTTTCTTTCAGCCACACCCCTGATCTTCTGGTAGGAAATATCTACACCAAGCCTTCTCGGACCAACTGAAAACATTTAATGTGTCCCGCGCGCTCATATGACCTTATACAGTTGCGAGCGCCGTAAAACATGTACCAAAAAAAACAATAACCCCCCCCCCCCCCCAATGTTTTATGAAGTATCTGTCTTCTTCTTCTTCTTCTTCTTCTTCTTCTTCTTCTTCTTCTTCTTCTTTTTCTTCTTCTTTTTCTTCTTCTTCTTCTTCTACTTCTTCGTTTTCCCCTTCTCCTTTTCATTCTCCTTCTTCTTCTTTTTCATTGTAAACAATGTAGTTAAAACAAAATTTCTGATCCATAAACTTGTTAATTTTTGGACTCGATTAGCCCGGCAAAATGAAAATCTCTGAAATTATGTGATTATGTGTATTTGGCCATGTGTGAAGACAGTTGAAAATGAGGAAGACAAAAGAAAAAGCTAATGGAACTACTTTTGGAAAAAGAAAAAAATAGACGATTTTGTCGGCTGCAAGTAATTCTTCAAAAGGACGACAGAGGGACATGGAAAGGTATCTTGCCATCGTCTGCGTACAACACCCCTCCCCTCTCTACCCCTAACCTTTATTTTACAACACAACTTTCAAATCAAGGAATGATTGGGTGTGTGAGTGACAATGGGTGAGCTTGACGTAGATGAAAGGTATTATGTTTGTGTGCTTATTTTATCCGCCGGGAATGAACTTACTGCAATATTCTCCGGTATAACCTTCATCACACTCGCAGTACGGCTCGTTGTTAGACACAACACATTTACCATGACCACACTGGCCTTCGAAGTCGGCACACAAGTTGTTCCTTGCTGTAGCTGTAGCTGAAGAGAAGAAAGACGGGAGTTAAAGCTTGGAGGAGCTTAGGATAACGACGTCTGGTTTTTATAGAGAAGTAGATGACCTTAAAATCATAGACTTAATGGAGCATTTTTAAGCATTTATATCAGATGGTAGAAACTTGATATTACCTTCTTATTTCAACTGTAAAGCAATGCAGAGCTTGAAACATAATTTAGTGGCTCTCGTGACCTAGAGGTTAAGGGGTTGACCTCTCAATTAAAGGTCCCGGATTCAAATCAGGGTAGCGACCGAAAAAGTGTCTCCTTTGACCTTCTTTCCTGTTCTCTAGCAATATTTTGTTGTCTGCTTTCGTCTCTTCTTTCTGCCCCAACCCCTCACCTCCTTTGCCCCATCCTGTGAGCTCCTGACTCTTTCTTCAGCCTTTCTTCTGCTACTCCTTGGCTCCTTCTTACTGCTTTCTTTCAACCACAATCCTGATTTTCTGGTAGGAAATATCTACACCAAACCTTCTCGGACCAACTGAAAACATTTAATGTGTCCTGCGCGCTCATATGACCGTATACAGTTGCAAGCGCCGTAAAACATGTACCAAAAAAACAATAACCCCCCCCCCCCATGTTTTATGAAGTATCTGTCTTCTTCTTCTTCTTCTTCTTCTTCTTCTTCTTCTTCTTCTTCTTCTTCTTCTCCTTCTCCTTCTCCTTCTCCTTCTCCTTCTCCTTCTCCTTCTCCTTCTCATTCTCCTTCTTCTTCTTTTTCATTGTAAACAATGTAGTTAAAACAAAATTTCTGATCCATAAACTTGTTAATTTTTGGACTCGATTAGCCCGGCAAAATGAAAATCTCTGAAATTATGTGATTATGTGTGTTTGGCCATGTGTGAAGACAGTTGAAAATGAGGAAGACAAAAGAAAAAGCTAATGGAACTACTTTTGAAAATAGAAGATTTTGTCGGCTGCAAGTAATTCTTCAAAAGGACGACAGAGGGACATGACAGAGGGACATGGAAAGGTATCCTGCCATTGTGTGCGTACAACATCCCCCCGCCTCTACCCCTAACCTTTATTTTACAACACAACTTTCAAGTCAAGGAATGATTTGATGTGTGAGTGACAATGCGTGAGCTTGACGTAGATGGAAGGTATTCTGTTTGTGTGTTTATTTTATCTACCATTAATGAACTTACTGCAAAATTCTCCGATATAACCTTCATCGCACTCGCAGTACGGCCCGTTGTTAGACACAACACATTTACCATGACCACACTGTCCTTCGAAGTCGGCACACAAGTTGTTCCTTGCTGTAGCTGTAGCTGAAGAGAAGAAAGACGGGAGTTAAAGCTTGGAGGAGCTTAGGATAACGACGTCTGGTTTTTATAGAGAAGTAGATGACCTTAAAATCATAGACTTAATGGAGCATTTTTAAGCATTTATATCAGATGGTAGAAACTTGATATTACCTTCTTATTTCAACTGTAAAGCAATGCAGAGCTTGAAACATAATTTAGTGGCTCTCGTGACCTAGAGGTTAAGGGGTTGACCTCTCAATTAAAGGTCCCGGATTCAAATCAGGGTAGCGACCGAAAAATTGTCTCCTTTGACCTTTTTTCCTGTTCTCTAGCAATGTTTTGTTGTCTGCTTTCGTCTCTTCTTTCTGCCCCAACCCCTCACCTCCTTTGCCCCATCCTGTGAGCTCCTGACTCTTTCTTCAGCCTTTCTTCTGCTACTCCTTGGCTCCTTCTTACTGCTTTCTTTCAGCCACACCCCTGATCTTCTGGTAGGAAATATCTACACCAAGCCTTCTCGGACCAACTGAAAACATTTAATGTGATCCACGCGCTCATATGACCTTATACAGTTGCGAGCGCCGTAAAACATGTACCAAAAAAACAATAACCCCCCCCCCCCCCCCAATGTTTTATGAAGTATCTGTCTTCTTCTTCTTCTTCTTCTTCTTCTTCTTCTTTTTCTTCTTCTTCTTCTTCTTCTTCTACTTCTTTGTTTTCCCCTTCTCCTTCTCATTCTTCTTCTTCTTCTTTTTCATTGTAAACAATGTAGTTAAAACAAAATTTCTGATCCATAAACTTGTTAATTTTTGGACTCGATTAGCCCGGCAAAATGAAAATCTCTGAAATTATGTGATTATGTGTATTTGGCCATGTGTGAAGACAGTTGAAAATGAGGAAGACAAAAGAAAAAGCTAATGGAACTACTTTTGGAAAAATAAAAAAATAGACGATTTTGTCGGCTGCAAGTAATTCTTCAAAAGGACGACAGAGGGACATGGAAAGGTATCTTGCCATCGTCTGCGTACAACACCCCTCCCCTTTCTACCCCTAACCTTTATTTTACAACACAACTTTCAAATCAAGGAATGATTGGGTGTGTGAGTGACAATGGGTGAGCTTGACGTAGATGAAAGGTATTATGTTTGTGTGCTTATTTTATCCGCCGGGAATGAACTTACTGCAATATTCTCCGGTATAACCTTCATCACACTCGCAGTACGGCTCGTTGTCAGATACAACACATTTACCATGACCGCACTGGCCTTCTAAGCCGGCACACACGTTGTTCCTAGCTGTAGCTGTAGCTGTAGCTGAGGAGAAGAAAGACGGGAGTTGAAGCTTGGAGAAGCTTAGGATAACGACAACTGGCTTTTATAGAGAAATAAATGACCGTAGCTGACGAAACATAAGGTGTTAAAATCGTAGACGGACTCAGTGGAGCATTTTTAAGGCATTTGCATCGGATGGTAGAAACTATATTAGCTACTTATTTCAACTATGAACCAATGCAGACCTTTAAACATATTTTAGTGGCTCTCGTGACCTAGAGGTTAAGGGGTTGACCTCTCAATTAAAGGTCCCGGATTCAAATCAGGGTAGCGACCAAAAAATTGTCTCCTTTGACCTTCTTTCCTGTTCTCTAGCAATATTTTGTTGTCTGCTTTCGTCTCTTCTTTCTGCCCCAACCCCTCACCTCCTTTGCCCCATCCTGTGAGCTCCTGACTCTTTCTTCAGCCTTTCTTCTGCTACTCCTTGGCTCCTTCTTACTGCTTTCTTTCAGCCACACCCCTGATCTTCTGGTAGGAAATATCTACACCAAGCCTTCTCGGACCAACTGAAAACATTTAATGTGTCCCGCGCGCTCATATGACCTTATACAGTTGCGAGCGCCGTAAAACACGTACCAAAAAAACAATAACACCCCCCCC